TAGATTTTAGTTTGGAAAAGATCAAAACTGAACAAGATAATGATACCGATATTCAGCTTATTATTTCACATATTCTTGCTCAAAAGAAAATGGACAACTTTGTGTTATACAACAATATTTTATTTCGTCTTGTAGCCAAGAGAAAGCATGCAACCAAGAGCAAGGTTCCATACTTACCTGTATCAATGCTCAACACCGCGCTCGAAGCATTTCACGATCATCCAATGAGTGGGCATTTCGGAGTACAACGGACGTTATGTAAAATTCGTACTCGATTCTGGTGGCCCAATATGCGCAAATCAATAGAGCATTACATATCATCTTGTCAACAATGTATGAAATTCAACATCCTACGCAGTAAAACACCAGGTCACCTTAAATCGTTCGATCCACCAACAGATGTATTTCAGGTACTACATATGGATTTCTGGGGTCCTGTCCGCACATCAGCGCAAGGAAATCGGTACGTACTAGTCCTTACGGACAACTTATCCAAATATGTAATAGCAAAAGCGATGTCAAATAATACTGCTAAGGCTGCTGCCGAATTCATTATGAACGAATTCATTATGGTGCACGGCGCCCCTGAACGAATTATCACAGACAATGGTGTACATTTTAACAACACATTAATGAAGAATATCACCACAATGACGCGTATTGCTCATGCATTTTCGGTGTAATGCCAGTAAGTAATTGGAAAGAGATTGAATAGAAAGAGACGGATATTTTAATTTCAATAACTTATCACTATCGTTAATACCTCCATTCATATTAGTATTCGAACTCCACATTTCGTTCCACTGTGTGTGAAAATCTTTGAATGAAAAAGCAAAGCTACTGTCAGTTTTTAACGCTGATCACAGAAAACCTGCGAATTGTTTCAGGTTTCCCTCATGTTCTCAAAAACTCTCTCGCTTAACTTGAATGCTCACCATTCCAGTTTTGGGTTTAAAATCTCTGGAAGTCTGGAATTTCTATTGCAAACGAAACAATTTCTAGCCATAACTATCTTAAAACTTGTTGTCTATTTCCGAAAATGCATATTTTTTTGCCTTATTATCGATAAAAAGCTTTTTCCAGTCAGTTTTCTTCTTATAAATAACAAACAACAACATATTTAAAATCTCCATCTGAAACGTTTAAGAACCCCTTCCCCTCAGAAAAAAACTTTCCTCTTACATCCGATTTTGATCAAACTTTCAGCAAATGTTTGCCATATCAAAGTGTGATTATGAAATTTTTTTTACCTCGCTGTCTCTTACCGTTCCGGGGTTTTCCAGAGTCCAAGGTCAAATACCCACCCTCCACTGTGGAACACTTTTTTTAAATATACTTCAAGCTAGAGATCTCGAGTTGGTTTTATTTTAAACTAGACACCTAACTGTGTGAACTGATGGGACCAGATTTTTGATTTAGATCTTCGTTGGTTTTCTAGAGATCTAAGATCCTCAAAAACCCGAAAAACCCTTTTGGATTTTCCAGAGATCCTTGATTTTCTAGAAAACTAAGGCCTAATTCAAAAATCTGGTCCCATCAGTAGAGTCCTGTTACCGTGACTTTTTCGTTACCATTTACCATACCATCGATAGAATTTTTTCTTTTACCATTACCATTACCACCATCATGAATGTTTTACCATTACCATTACCATTACCGTGGTAATGGTAATGGAATTCTCATGGTAATAGAACATATTCCCACAGAAGGAAAAGAAAAAAAACATAAACACGTGCATAAGGCACAAAATAAAGAATATGTAGGATCATCTAAAAACAAATATTGCCACGAGACTCAGCATGGTCGATTATCCATAGTCCATCCGTCTTTAAGGCTACCAATAGTCACCGGGTGCTAGTCCTGAGACTCATAGGAAATTCGACACAACGCCCGAACCGCAGAAAATCAAGATCTCACTTTACTCCCATTTTGAAGAGAACATCCCGGGCTATCAGTCCATGAAAAAAAATCAATACATTCCTATGTAAATTTTGGAAAATCCAAGCTAGTTTTCCAAAGATCCTCTGAAAAACTCGCTTTAGAAATTTTTCCGAAATTCACTTTTGCTTACAGAAATATGTGCTCAGGTGTCTAGTTCTCACAACTGAAAACCGCAGGTCGCTAACTATCAAGATGGAGTTATTCAAGAAACGTGCACACGCCTTTAATTTTGGCGCCGGTAATAGAATCTGAAACGTGTTCGTTACCATCACCATTACCATTACCATGAAATTTAAATTTTGTTACCATTTACCATCTGTTACCAAGAATTAAAATTTTCTTTTTACCATTACCATGGTAATGGTGATGGTAACGGTATGGTAATGGAATTTTTTTGTTACCGCAGGACTCTACCCATCAGTCCACGCAGTTAGGTGTAGGCATGTACCAATACCAATCGTTATTGGAGATATTGTACAATACTATTGGGTATCCAATAATATTCGGATCCAATAATATTGGTCACCCAATCTATTGGAACCAATAATATTGGTCATCCAATCT